CTTTGATTGTTAGAGCTCACGTCACACCACACCAATAGAATCGTAAGCTTTCTTCTTCGCGGTTCATAAGAAAGTGGGCAAAAAGAAAAAAGAGGGGAAAAAAGAATTAAAGTTTGCAGATGGGGTAAGGCCTTTTATATGGTTGTGGACAATCCTCGCCTCATGAGATGGCTTTTAGGCACCTCATGGATACCTCAAACATATGCAGAAAGTCTGCAAATGCTCGTATGGGATACTTATATATCCATGCAACTTAAACCATTTGAGTACTTTTGTTCTGTTTGTTTCATTAGAGAAGCATCATCATCATCTACATCTCAATCGCAACCAAGTTGAATTCGCCTATACGAGTTTTCACTTACTATATCACTCCGTTTAAGTTCATCTTAGACCGTCATTACACACAGTAGAATAAAAATAAAACAGTCATATAATCTGTGGATGTTTCAGTAGACAAGCATATGACTTTTTTCATATTGCAGAGTTATTCACCCGAGGACAATAGGTTTGATCTGCGCCAGTTCCTGTACAATGTCCGATGGCCTTATCAGTTTCGCAAGATTGATGAACTTGTGAACGAGCTAGATGGTGATAAAGTTGCTCTTATAAAATCGACTGACGGGGAAAATGTGAACGTTACAGCTGATGGTGGGATGGGTGTTGTGGCCGCAGGCTCGGGTGATCCAAGAGCTGGCTTCTAATACTAACTTACACAGTTTAGCTCATAATGCAGCTGATAAGGAGATACAGGATTTCCAAATGTTTTCTCAGTCTTTCAGATAGTCTAATTTACTCTTTACTTATTTAAGAAAATCAGTTCAACATTTTTTTCAATAATGAAAACCCCTTCATTTGTGATCTGTTGTATAAACAAGAAATTATATTTTGAGATAAAATTTATCCTGATTATAAGTAATTTTATTAACTAAATATACGATAGGTTTACTCTCATATTTTATATCGAAATAATCCAACTCCGACCAAACTTAAGCTAACTTTAGCAACAAGGTTTTGGAATTCTAAATTTGACTTTTATATCCTAATTTAATACTAAGGATAGTATGAGGTAGGGTATTAGGAGGCTAACCTCCTCCTTTTACCTCTCCTCATTATCTATGTGGTATTATTTGTTTTATTTCATTTATTTTGTACTAGGTAATTTATCCGCGCAAAGTGCGGACATAAATAATTTTTCTAAACTTTTGAACAACTTTTTCAATAATCGACTGTTATAAGAAAAAAAAAATTAGTAGGTTTTAAAAACATTCAACAGAAATTAAATGATTTGACATTATCACATATCTAAATAATTGTAAATATATATTGAATGATTAAAAATATCTTGAGATCTAATCATTTTTATCTTTTACATAATTTATCATAATATATGTTTGATGATATAATTGTGTTGTTAAAACTAAGTGATGTTTTTATGTAGCGATTAAACATATTTTTTTCTATTTTTTGTACATGAAAAATATAGAATCTGATAATTTTATGGTTAGAATAACTCCTTGTGAAAAAAAAATTTATGCAAAAGTTTTCGATAATCAATATTAGTTATAAATAAGTTAAGACCGTTAAAAATGTACACCACAACAACATAAATAATTTTTTTTAGAGACAATCTACTTGTCTGAGATTAAACATTCACTACTTTTCGTTATTATTACTTTGTTACTCTAACAAAATTTATAGAAGGAAAAAAATTAATTTGAAACAATAACAAAATAATATTGTTGACCCTTTTAGAAATTCATTATTTATTAAATTGCTGCTTTGAAGGCCCTTCTAGATACTTCATCAATGCAACTTTACACTTTTTCAGAAATATTTATGTATAATTGTTGCATTATGAAAGTACAAGTAGATCAAAATATTGGATTCTAGACTCATGTTAAAGAAATATTCTTAAACATTAAAAACTTAAAAATGAGTTTAACCTAAATAACTCAAATGCTCAACAATAACTTGGGACATAAAGGACAACAAATCTATGTTAATAGACATATCTTTTGTAGCTTAACATATTACTTTTATTTAGAGCAGGTTTTGTTTCATATTCTTCAAATTAAGCTTGCCGAAAATAGTCATAACTTACACAAAAAATATTAGAAGAGGCTGAAAGTTTTGTCCAAGTGGGATCTTGTCACTAAAAACAAACTATTAGTGGCGACTATTAACGGTATTAGGAGCGACTAATTTTGCCACTAAAACATTCTTTTAGTGGCAACTATTATAGGCATTACCAGCGACTATTGTTGCCACTAAAACATACTTTTAGTGGCGCCTATTATATCTATTAGCAGCGACTTTGTTGCTACTAAAACATACTTTTACTGACGACTATTATGGGCATTAGCAGCGACTATTGTTGCTACTAAAAACATACATTTAGTGGCCACTATTATAGGCATTAGCATCGACTAGTGTTGCCACTAAACAATACTTTTAGTGGCGCCTAGCTATTAGCAGCGACTGTTGTTGCCACTAAAACATACTTTTAGTGGCGACTATTATTGGCATTAGCATCGACTGTTGTTGCTACTAAAAACATACATTAGTGGCAACTATTATAGGCATTAGCAGCGACTCATATTGCCACTAAAACATACTTTTAGTGGCAATTATTTTAGGCATTAGCAGCGACTGTTGTTGCCACTAAAACATACTTTTAGTGGCGACTATTATAGGCATTAGCATCGACTGTTGTTGCTATTAAAAACAGACTTTTAGTGTCAACTATTATATGCATTAGCAGCGACTAAAACATACTTTTAGTGGCGTTTAATATAGGCATTGACACATTTAATGTTGCCACTAAAAAATACTTTTAGTGGCGACTATTATAAGCATTAACAGCCACTAATGTTGCCACTAAAACATTCATTTAGTGGCTACTATTATAAGTATTAGCAGCGATTAATGTATAAATTTAATGGCGACTATTATAAGTATTAGCAGCGACAAATGTAAAACATTCTTTAGTGGCGAGCGTTATAGGTATTAACGGCGATTAATCTTGTCACTAAAACAAACTATTAGTGGCGACTATTATAGGTAATAGCAGCGACTATTGTTGCCAACCAAAACATTCTTTTATATATATACTAGTAAAATTACCCGCGACTCGCGTAGAAATTCAATGTTACGAAATTTATAAAATAATACTTATAACCTATTAGTCATTTAAAGCAAAACACTACAAAGGAAGTGATAATTATAACATCTTATCATTTATCTTTCAATTAATCATCTTTTATTTGATTTTATAATTTATCTTTTTGCTTCCAGGAAGTGTTAGGGAAAGGGGCGTTCAGCCACTTGACTCTAAGGAAAGGGGCCTTGTCGGCCACAACTTGCTGACGACGGAACACATCGTTAATTAAAAGGTCATTGCCTTGGACTTAGTTGGAAAGGTAGGTGTTCGGCATGTCCCTTGCTTGCGAACTTCTTTAGTAGGGCGGAGGTGCCATTCCTCACGTTTACCATTGTCGCCAGACTTCACTCTTTCAACACTTGTATACAATTCGATTTTGAGGAATCAAATGCATCAACCGGTAATATTAAATATTCTAATAAATAAATAATCATTGGTGTAAAGATAAATAAATTGTAAAAGGTTGAAAAAAGTGAACAAATATTCTAATTCTAACGTGTAGAAAGTTCAGCACTATTTATTGTTTTACAAATATCATTTTAAAGTTTCCATTTAAATGTATCATAAGTAATTATTAAAATGAAAATTAAAGGAAAAATGTATCATATTGGACAACAATTCAACTTATTATATATACTTGAAACGGAAAAATATTACACAAAACTATTCAATTTGTTTGGGTATGTTTTAAAAATCAACATACCAAAGTGATAAAGTTCGATTTGAAACTACACTTCTATTCCAATCACAGTGTCAAAAACACATCTATTACTTCAAGAAAAGTATTTACAACTTGCAGTAAACTTGAGAAATTTGTCCATACTTCATATTGAATATGAGCAATTAATTTATTGTGTAGTTATCTATTTCTTTGGGATTAAAAGATGTTGTAGTCTAGTCATATTCCTCTATAGGTCATCCGGCACATCCTTGAACTTATGTCAAAAGTTTATTAATTTTTGTCTTATTTTCCTGATTCACTTCACAGATTAATGTGTGATAAAGTTTTTAAGATCTTTATGCGTTTACAATGACATATCAAATTTGAATTTTGTCTTCAAGATATAGTAGTACAGGTCTTTAAGGAATTCTTTTACTCTACTTTCAACAATTTTAGTAGAGAAAACTTGCATGAATACTCAATTAACTTGTGTGTTTAATCTGTACTAACAAATACTTATAACAATAACTTTGAAGAAACATAAACAACAAAGTTTAAAAAGATATACTCAAAAACAACAATTAATAAAATAAGCATAAATTAATGACTGTAAAAAAAAAAAATCAAAATCTGTAACAATAAAATGAAACAGATCAAGCCCACTAAATGCATAGTGTACCCTTAAGAAAATGATTCTCCTCTAGTACTTGAGGTTTAAAGGAATAGACTCTCTCAGGATAGGACAATTCTATTCACCAGTGTATTGATACAAAAAACAATGGTGATGTGAGTCACTCAACAGGAACAAAGTACACGAATATTTAATTGTGCAAAAGAAGAAGAAGTAATTCAGAATTTTCGTTGTTCTAAAATGAAAGAAAATTCCTCTATTTATAAACAATAAAGGGTAGTGTGAATAAATATTTATTGTGCCTTATCAAAAAGGTCACAACTTTTCATAAAAGTCACAACTCATCAAAAAAATCACAACTTTTCATGAAAGGGGAAGGCTAATATTGAAAATAAATAAATTAAAAGAGAATCCTGAATTCTGGTGGCGCCACATAAGCAGGCCTAAGGTACAAGTCATCCTAAGTACTGGCACTTGGCAGCAAGAGAACATGTCCACTGTAATAACTGGGCTAAAATAGGACTCAGATTATGATGCTCAAAAGAAGTACTAAATAAAATTCTGAAGTCGTATTCAACAGATCGAAGCAACATACAAGCCGTCGTTCTCAAAGAACGGAAACATCCTTTCAGTAAAATCTTCACCTATAAAAACTAATCGAAGGGGGGAGATTTTTCAGAACAAATGACAAAACTTGCACTAACCCTCACTTCAAACTATTCTATATATCCTCATTTCCTGCATCTTTGCAGTATCAATGGAGATTCTTTGGAAGAGCTTACAGCTCATCATGGCTGTCATCTTCCTCTTCTTCCGATGCACCGCCACCTGGGGCTCCACCTGATCGTTGATAAACAGCTGTGATGATTGGATTGCAAACTGCCTCGACCTCTTTGAGCTTCTCGTCATAATCCTCTTTCTCGGCGCTCTGGTTATCGTCTAGCCATTCAAGGGCTTCTTTCGTTGCTGTCTCAATCTTCTCCTTCTCATCAGACTCTAGTTTGTCAGCTAACTTGTCCTTGTCGTTGATTTGATTCTTCATGTTGTACACGTAGGTTTCCAAAGCGTTACGGGCATCAATCTTCTCCTTCACCTTCTTGTCTTCCTCAGCAAACTCTTCTGCTTCACGAACCATACGCTCAATCTCTTCTTGGCTTAAGCGGCCCTTGTCGTTTGTAATGGTAATCTTCTCTGCTTTTCCAGTACCCTTGTCTTCTGCTTTGACATTCAAGATGCCATTGGCATCAACTTCGAATGTGACCTCAATTTGGGGGGTTCCCCTGTTCAAACAATATCAAGATTCCCATCATTCAGATCCCAATAGGATTCCAAAAAGTTGTTTGTACAATTATCTAAAGAGAAGAAATGCAACTGACCTTGGAGCTGGAGGAATTCCAGTGAGATCAAACTTTCCAAGATTCCTACAGTCCTTGGTAAGACTCCTTTCACCTTCAAAAACCTGTCATCATGTGGGGAAAAAACAGTGAGAATCGGAGCATACCAGAGGACAGGTTAATGAACAGTTATGGATAATGAGCTGTAGGATTGCACAAATATGAAGCAAAGCAATACCTGAATGGAGACAGTGGTCTGCTGGTCTTGGTAAGTAGTGAACACCTGGGACTTCTTGGTTGGGATAACTGTATTTCTGGGGATCAATTTGGTCATCACACCACCAACGGTTTCAATACCAAGGGTGAGAGGAGCGACATCCAGGAGAAGGATATCTGCACACAAAGAAACATTGTCACAATCAATCAATAAAAGCGGCAAACTCACACATTATCGAAACCAATAAGCAAATTATGGCAAGAAAACTAATTAGATCATGTACCTTTAGTTTCGTCTCCACCCTCTCCACTGAGGATACCACCTTGAACAGCAGCACCATAAGCAACTGCTTCATCAGGATTTACACCCTTGCTGGGCTCCTTCCCGTCAAAATAGTCTTTGAGGAGCTGTTGCACCTTTGGAATTCTTGTGCTTCCACCAACAAGAACTATCTCATCAATCTGGTTCTTTTGTAGCCCAGCATCATCCATTGCCTTCTTCACAGGTCCCATTGTCTTTCTGAAGAGATCATTGTTCAACTCCTCAAAGCGAGCACGGGTCAATGGTTCAGAGAAATCAGTACCATCAAATAATGATTCAATCTCAACCCGGACTTGGTGCTGGCTACTAAGGGATCTCTTGGCACGCTCAGCTTCTCTCCTTAGCTTGCTAAGAGCTCTGTTGTCCTTGCTGATGTCCTTTCCATGCTTCTTCTTGATCAACTTGATGAAGTATTCCATAATCCTTTGATCAAAGTCCTCACCTGCAAGAAATATCGGACATTCGAAACATAATCTAAGAATAATTATCTCATAAGATGGCAGTTCTGAAGCTTCCTCAGCTATCATAAAAGACCCTTCTAAAAGGACAACCCCACTAATGTGCAATCAATAGAAAAGTCATTTAGCATTTCATAAGTCTATTAGAAACTACAATCAGGACACCCTAACAGCATTATGGTTACCAGTATCAAAATGTAGCATGCTCAACTTTAAGTTGTTTCTATACCATAGATCCTTACCTCCAAGATGGGTGTCACCATTCGTTGCAAGAACCTCAAACACGCCATTGTCAATGGTCAGAATACTGACATCAAATGTCCCACCACCAAGGTCAAAGACAAGAATGTTCTTCTCACCACCTTTCTTGTCCAGTCCATAGGCAATGGCTGCAGCTGTTGGCTCATTAATGATCCTAGCAACATTTAATCCAGCAATAACACCAGCATCCTTTGTCGCCTGTCTTTGTGCATCATTGAAATATGCTGCAGAGACGAGATAAGCCTCTTAATAATGACAGAAAAGAAAAATGAAAACGAAAAAATTGAACATTTAGGACCTGATAACAACATACCAGGAACAGTGACCACAGCATCCTTAATAGTCTTCCCAAGGAATGCTTCAGCTGTCTCCTTCATCTTTGTCAAAATCATGGCACTGATTTCCTCAGGGCTAAATACCTTAACTTCTCCATCCTTGATTTTGACTTGTATGTAGGGCTTTCCATCCTTGCTGATAATCTTGTATGGTACCAGCTTCATATCCCTCTGTACTTCCTTATCTTCAAATCTGAAAAAAAAGGTAAAAGCATCTCTAAGCACGACAAATACACAATCATAACAAAACATATAAAACTAATTGAGAATTGTCCATTACTTTCTTCCAATCAGCCTCTTAACATCAAAGATTGTCCTTTCTGGGTTGACCGCAGCCAGGTTCTTGGCAGCCTCACCAATCAATCTCTCGTTATCAGTGAATGCAACCCATGAAGGTGTAATCCTGTTTCCTTGGTCATTAGCTATAATCTCCACATGACCATTCTTATACACCCCAACACAGGAATAGGTTGTCCCAAGGTCAATTCCTATAACGGTACCAAGTTTTGTAGCCTCCTCTTTTGCAGTGGAAAGTGCAAAAAGACAGCCTGTTTCAAGGAAAAGAGTAAGATAACAGATGACGCTCACCAGACTCTGCAAGTACTATATGAAACTCATGACATAACACATCAAAAGGAATATATGTATGTACGTATGTGAGTGCATCTGCAGTATCAATCACTCAAACAATTGACTACACCTATCAATCCCAAACTAGTCTGGCATAGCTATATAAATCATTCGTACCTATTCCACTCAACTCAAGTCAATATACAGGCAATTCGGTAGAAATAAAAAAAGGGTCATAGAACATAGATAAGCTAAGAACAAAAAACCAGCAACTTTTTGCATATTTAAACGATCATTCAGCTAAATTATAAGGTTTTCAAGTATCCATAGGATCTGAAAACGATCCTTATAAATGTACATCATCCAGAACCACAGACCAAACATGCATCCCAAATTATTACCATTCTAGCAAGTAAAAATTAAAAGGCTGGTCACCCAGGGAAAAAAAAAAAAAGAGGACAATAAATATGTAAAAGTTCAGGACATATGCAATGCCAATGTAGCAGTGACCTTGTTTCTCTATCTGGAGTTGAAATCTGATCTAGAGTAGAAACTAGAATACATACACGAATCAATGCACAGGTGCGCATGAACCAACTACCTTTGCCATGGGACTATAAATAGATAATATACACACACCTTTGCCATGGGGCTATAAATAGATAATATACACACCCCCGATCAAACATCCTAGATCAACATCTGATTAGATGATATAATTCTTCAATCAAAAACAAAAACAGGAGCAAATAGCAGTGAGAATCTAATAAATGTTTGCTTATATATATCTAGATGATAAAGCGCCTAAACACTAATCTCATTCCAGATACAGCATTATTTCCACTTCATAAACGAACATTTGAAATTCTCCTGCAGCGCACCATATGAATCATCCATCGACTATTCTATTCCAATGCTAAATAATTTCTCCATTAAACTCAATCGAGGAAACAAAAATAAGCCATATCAATCACACAAAACACCATACAAATCCGTAAACAGATTTGAAATTATATGAAAACTATAGCCAGATCTAAAACTAACACGTCAAACATACAAATCTACAAAAAAAAAACGCATACATTATACACAAAAGCTAACAGATCTAGGATCTACTACATTCTAGATCAAAACATAACAAATCAAATCTCATAAACCAGAAAAAAATAAAAAAAAATAATCAAAACAGATCTACGAGCAAATAGAAACAGAAATTTTACCTAATAGAACGATCGTTAGCACGACGAGAGAATTGCCTCGCCTCAAACAGCCAGCCATAGCTTCTTTCTTCCTAATCAACGTACAATACACTAAGCTACAGGTACACCACAATGTGATCCCTCAATGTGTATATCTTTCTCAGTTAATGAGAGACTTATATTTATAGACTCCCGATGTGATCGGGAGCATTTTATACTGTGAGAAACTGAAGAAAGACCCGAGGGGTGGTCTCCGTTCAACGAGTGACATTCCAGAACATGACGTGGACCAATAGGAAGAGGAACGTGAATTCTTGAGCCAATAGCGATTGACCTTGTGCTGGGATGATCAGGACCGTACGATTTCACTTGTGCTGGGAAGATCAGGACCGTAGGATTTCACTTCTACACGTGTCAGCATGAGAGTTTTATTAGTAATTTCAAGTAGGCTCACTTGCCATAGAGAGACATAAGTTATGGTTAGTAAATCAAAATGATTGGATTTGAATTTAATGTATGAAATTTGTTAGATATGATTTTTAATGTATTTCAAAAATTGGTCAATTTAGTTAAATTATAGATAAAGTTTTGTTTTTATTTTTTGTCAAAAGTAAATATTTTTTTCTCAATATGTGTATTTAATATTAAATTGACCAATTTCTGAAAATACATTAAAGATCTACGTGTATTACATCAATCAATTCTATTTTTAAATCACACTAAAAATTGATCTTAATTTGAAAGAGCCATGGAAAAAAATTAATAATCGTGTACGAATGATTTCTTGGTTAATTTTAATTGGAAAGTCTATTTTTAATGAGAAAGTAATTTTATTGTATTTGAATTGATTTAAAGAAGAATCTAGGGTTTCATTTGGCACATGTCATGTAGGCTATGTTAATTTTAACGATTAGGACCAATTGATACATCTAAGATGCATTCAGTCCGTTTTTACTAGGTTTATATATTAAGAAATCAAATGAAGCAAAGTTCGATGTTTTTGTCAATGAAGAAAGAGAGATGCAGAAACTAAGACCCGAAAATTACATACATTTATTGCGTTTATTATATTTCTATATTTCTCTGATCACTGAAGCAAACAAAGAAAAATGGAGAAAGAATACACCTAAAACAATCATACAAAGAACACTAAAACGATTAAAATAACAAGGAACAAACAATAGAGAAAGGAACAAAAAGAGATACGTAAAATAAGGCAAAAGAAGCTCGCCAATTTGAATCTTCAAAGAGATCGATCTGCAAGAGTTTGAGATGCAAATTAAGAGTCGAGAGAAGGTCACTCATAGAGAAGCCCTCCGATTGCCCTTCAATTTTTGGGTATACGCCAGAGGCAATTGCTGCTTACACACACATATATATAGAGCCATTCCACGTACTTTCTCCAATTAAATTAGGTCACAGGGCAAAAATTAAAAGGGTTATACTGTATACTTTATGTTGCTTTATGTACAATCGTGTGATGTTGTAGTCCGCTCCGCCCTTGACTTCTATAATATAGTAAGTATGTCTCCTATAAATGCAATTTTTTTTAGATTTATACCTCTCTATGTATTTCCACCAATTAGATTAAGACCACGAGGGCAAAAATTAAAAGAGTTACATTGTATACTTTATGTTGTTTCCACACAACCATATGATATATATTGTGTTCGCTCCTGCCTTTGTTAGCTTTTTTATTTTTATTTTTCATTCGGGAAGTCCCAAATTGAGGGTAAAACGTTCTCTAACAAAGTCGACTTGGTACTTAGAGCGACTCGAACCCAATACTTATAGTTAAGGGTGGAAAAGTACTTACCACTCCATCACAATCCTTGTTGGTGTTAGCTTTAAGGTGTCAAAAATTAACTCAAATATAGGTAATCTACCCAATCTGTCATGCCCCGAGGCTACCCATTTGACGTAACACAGGACCTAGGATCACGAGTGACCTCAAGCTAACATTGAGTCTGGCATATCATAAGCATACTGAAAAATAACTAAGTAAAACATGAACTATGTGGAAGCTAAATCAATAGATATCTGAAGATGAGACAAACCCCAAATAGTCTGAATGTAAATATGAAATAATAAGAGTTTAGTAACAACTGAAACAACCACTTAACAACTCAAGTTGAATTTACTACTATGAATGGCAAACCTCTAACTGAGTTGAGTTGCTGGGACATGCCTCCAGCTAACTCTAATAAAACTGAAAACTGAAAGTAAAGACTAAAATGGAAAGCATGTCAATTGTCCTCGAAGTATGAGGACTCACCACTGAAGCTGCTGAAGTCGAATCAAGAATCGATCTAAGCGTGATCTGAATGCTGAGTGCCTGAACCTACATCATGAATGATGTAGCGCAAAATATGTGTCAGTACTTGAAATGTACTGAGCATGCAGATTATAGATATTAAGTTGAACAAATATATATGAGTTGAACAATAATATAGGTTGTATAATCATATAAGTTGAGTTATGATATAAAATTTACTGAAAGATAACTGAAAACTATACTAAATATAATGACCAAGTATTAATCATGAAAGTAACATGTTGAACTGAATACTAAAGAATATGCTGAAAACCGGGTCAATGCAATAAAAATCTGACTGTGGGAGTTACTATTAATCCACATAAACCACGTGAGCTAAACGTGAAGTCCGATGTATACACCCCATCGAGAGGACCTAATATACATTGCCAGGAGTATAAAGACTGTGGCGTAATTACTAAAATTGATGCCCAACTGAGGGAAGTTATAATCCTACGCGGACATGTAGATTAGGGACTATGAGGGTACGTTGAACCCTAGTCCAACTCGGTGCTAAGTCTACTACCATCTGAATATTCATGAAACTAAAATGCACTAAATATTGAATAGCTTAAAATACTGACATGCTAACTGAGAATACAACATTTATATACTGAGAATGTGTCATTTGATATCTGGAGCATGATTTTTTATTTAACTGAACTAGCAAGTATAATTCATGAACTAAGAAAATTTACACAAACTAGGGTTCTGAGTTTTATAAAAGAAATTATGCTAAGTTTTCAAGAAAACATACTATTTTAACTAAGGATACTACAACAACAAAAATCACCATGAATCTCCAAGGTTTTATAAACTCTAGGTCTAAACAAGCTATGAAGAATCAAGGAACTGACTGAATTCTAGGGACCTAGTGGATGAAAGGAATCCATTAGTGAAATTCCACATACCTGATAACGAAATCTACAGTGAAACCTTGAAGAACATTCATGCTTGTTCTTGAGAGAGTTGGTCGCCTCTTTCTCTTATTTTCACAAATTTCATTCTAAGTTAGGTGATTTTAGGAGAATGGGGGTTTTGGGTAGGTTCTGACTAGATTATTAGGCTTAGACTGAGTAAAATGACATAGTTTAGGCATCAAAGGATGTAGTTTAAGTGCCTAATGCATAGGGAAAAAGACCAAAACGACCCTGTCTTAAAAGCTGACGAAAGCCCTTCATGGTGGGACTGACGGGTTGTCATTTGAACCACCGCTCGTCAAATGGGTCGTGGTTTGTGGCCCTGCTCAACAGGGCTCTACTAAAATGAGTGTAATTTTTTACTCCGAGATTGGATTTTAGCAAACTCAATGGCGTTGTAAAGAGGATTCAATTATCTTTAATTTGATAGGTCATGGGCTACCTAATTCATTTTGTGCTAAAAGATATAACCGTTTGAAGTTGACCTAAAAGCCATTTCTTTTCAACTAACGGTGGACCCTCACCAACGGCCAGACTTATAGTCCGTAGGTCCAACCATGGACCGTACTGGTCGGCCTTAGGTGGGATCAGAGACCTCTAAATCTTGGACCCCAATGACGGGACCCTACCTACATACCGTGAATCTATCGACGAACCGTGGACCACGAGTCCACGACTGTAAGTCTCATCTTTCAATCCCAAAATTTCTCTAAGTCTGGGACTCACTTACGAGACCTAGCTATTGCTCGTGCATTGAGTGGCGAACCATCCTGGTGAACCGTATAAAAGTACTGGGACCTGACATTATTGGAAAAATATAAATTCACCAACCACGCCACCATCTACAAAGTCGTCCTACCTATGAGCCGTGAGTAGTATCGTTGGTGCTGGCACCAGGCCTATGAACAAACTGTAATTTCTTATCTTCTTGGACCTGAGGTGTTACACAATCCGCCCATAATTTTATGGGTTGAACTCAAGATAATTTGAATTGGGTCAGTCTCAACTTATTTAAGCCTTAATCCATTTTAAAAGAATCTTCAATTGCATCCAACTTAATCTCTAATTTCAATCTGTTTGAAGATTCTTTATTGGCATTGGTGTAATATACGTTCTCAGAAGGTATGAATTACTATCTATATTATATCTTCTAGTATTTATCTATCAATTTATGACTTATTTGTTTTATTTTGTTGAGTTGAAATTTAAATTGTGGTTAGAAAATGTGAATAACAACATATTAAATTTTTTGAGATTAAGTGGGTAAAATTGCGCGGATCATGACCCAACTCTATTGTTTGCCTATTTGAACCCAAAGTCAATTGGGTTAGTCATAACCCAACCCGATTTCTATCTCAATCCATTTTAATATCTTCGATTTCAACCCAACACTCCCGTTTGACATCCCTAACTTGGCTTCTAAAATATTGAAAAGTATCTTTCCTAAAAATGTGAAAATTTTCAGATTTTTAAATCATAAATTTTAACTATATCATTGAAATTGTAATTCATAGTTAAAACCACCTTATTTATGAATTTAGATCTAGGGCTGGCAGGGGGACCGGGTCGGTCCGTGACCGGTTCGAGAATCGTCTCATCGGACCCGATCCCGTCTATTCTTGCGGGTTGGGGGGACTACTGGTTAGGGGACCGGTTCACCCTTTGGTCCCGATCAACCCAGCCTGGCTGAACCGGCCGGTTTTCACGGGATCCCTTTTGTTTTTGTTTTTATTTTTATTTTTATTTTTTTTAATTGTTTGAATTGTATCCATTGCCAACCGTTGGGGCAACGGCTAGTGGGGCCCCCCTACGGATTCATTCCACTTTTTCACTTCCCCAACACGCCGTACCACCCCCTACAAGCCCCTTACATTTAATATTTTAATTTAAACCCTCAAGTTATCATAAATACACTTTAACCCATTTTTAATATTATAAATAGTCCTCGATCCCTTATTCTTTCTTACAAAATCATCTATTTTCTCATCTATTTCTATATCATCTCAATCTTAAGTCTTAATTTTTTATTCCATTTAAGTCTCATATTATTATAATACATATATTTCAATTCTAAATTTTCATATTATATCATAATATATATAATTCTCATATTTGCTATCAAGTATTGGAGTTTCAAATGACAAGTTACAACAAACTACAAGCTTCAAGAATCAGTTTAACTTCTGCTATTAGCTCAGACGTTTGGTACATTCATTTCATAGTATTTATATTTTACTTTTTGTCTTTAATTTTTGTATTATTATTATTTTTATATTACACTTTGCATATAATTAAATATGAGTTCTAGCAAAAGAGATACCGGTAAAGGAAAAGAAAAAGAACCAAGTGCCATTAGTAAATTATTTAATTTTAATAAAAAAAGTAGTAAGGAAAAAAATAAAAGTAAATGTCGTGGTACTTCTTCTAAATCAATGTCTAGAGTTAGATTTAATACAAATGATTCTACTTATGTTGATGATACTTCTTTATGTTATTGATTCAAATGTTCAACTCGATCATGAAAGTTTAAAACGACGTTATGGTGATATTAATCCTAATCTTGATGAATATTCAGGTGAAGAAGTAGAAGTTGATCCGAGAGAAGAAGATTTAGAAGATACATCTACTAGTCCGGTGATAGAAGTTCCAACTAAAACTACAAATTTAACGGAGCAAAATTGTGGACGCCCACCCCTTATACCTCCTACAAGGGAGAATGTGAAGTATCAACGCCCTAAAACTTATGTTGTGTGGCAATTTATGAGTTTAGATAAGGAAAACTCTATTGTTATTTGTAATAAGTGTTAGCAACCTTTTAAACATAGACAATGTAGGGGTCAAGGTGGGACGTGGGGCTTAAATAAACATTTGTTATCTTGTGTGCCAATTGAATATAAAGAAGCTAAAGCATTAGCCGATAGGAAAAAATGAATTCCAGTTAATGATTTTGATATTAATGTTAATGAATCGGTAGGGGCTTCTAACATGGTTCAAGGAACATTAGATCCTTCTAACTCCGGTAGTCCACTAACACGACGTAAATATAATAAGGAAAGAGATCGCGGAAATTTAGCTAAAATGATTTTTGTTTGTGGGTTGCCTTATAGTTTTCCTTCACATCCCGATTTTATTGAATATATTCAACAAACTTATAATCCTTCTTTTAGAGGTTTTTCAAGAAATATTGTTAAAGCTGATGTTTTTGTATATCAAGGTAGACATTGTCAATATCTTCGTTGTTTGTTTAGCATATTAGATTGTAGAGTGTCTATAACTTCGGACATGGGTCGTAATATTAATGGACAAGATTATTTAACTATTACAGCACATTGAATTGATCATAATTGAAATTTGCAAAAAAGAATCTTACGTTATAAAGAATGTGTAGAGAAAAAAACTGGTGCATATTTAGCTTCAAATATTTTGAGTGTTTTAGATTATTACATGCTTATAGATAAAGTAATGTCTGTCGCATTAGATAATGCATCTAATAATACAAACGTTGCTAGTATGTTAAAAGTTAGATTATGTCCAATTGATGTTAATGTTTTTCATGTTAGATGTGTTGCACATGTATTAAATTTAGTTGTACAAGATGGTATTTCATTATTTGATTGTGGTTGTATGAAAGTTGAATATGTTGTTGCCTGGATTTTTTATACTTATAGAGCTGCTAGAATTAGAGAATTTAATGAGCGTTGTGTACTATGTGATTTGCCACCAAGAAAAATTCCAAGACATATTAAAACAAAGTGAAATTCTTTTTACGAAATGCTTTCAGTTGCTTACGAATATAAATGACCCGTACAAATGGTGTTTAATACTCATAGTGCTGACCCATTAGATAGAATTTGTGAAGAAGATTGGGAAGAAACTAATGAACTATTAGAATTTTTAAGACTTTTTTATGATGCTACAACCATGTTTTCTGGAATTTATTACCCTACTATTTCATCAGTATTAATAAATATTTGTGCTATTTCAATTCAATTTTCTAAATACAAAAAAATTGACAAATTTAGAGTTGCAATTGAAGGTATGATTGAAAAATTTTAAAAATATTTTTTTCCTATTCCTCAAATTTATTTATCTGCTACTTTACTTCATCCTGACTATAAATTACGAGGTGTGCAGAGGCTTGTTGACACTTTTTATGATACTTTAGAAATTTTACCGAAAGAAATTCCAACTTGTGAAATATGTAAGTCTAGCATAAAAGTAGAAGAAAATATTTTGTATGAAAAATATAGAACTATAGGAAATACTCAAGGAGAAGTTGGTCAAACTTCTAATCCTCAAAGTGAAGCTCGAATTTCAAGTTATATGTGAGGCTTTCTTGGTCTTAATTCTACTAATCGTGATGATTTTAAAGAATATCTTAATCAATCTTTAGAAACAGTGGAAGACAAAGATGGCAATGAAGATTTATTAGCATGGTGGAGGAGGTGGAGCGTTGCATTTCCAGTTTTGAGCAAAATGGTTCGTGATGTTCTAGCTATTCAAGGTTCATCAGTTGCATCAGAGACTGCTTTTAGTGCGACAAAGTTTCAAATTGGCGATCATAGACATTCATTGGTGGAAGAAAGTTTGGAAACATTAGTTTTATTTAGAGATTGGGTCAACGCCGAGAGGAGAAATTATAATTTGCCAAAGTTAAGTTCCAGACAAGAAGCTTGGGTTAAAGCGGTAATTGAATCTAATGACGATGAATTAGAGTCACAAGAGTTTCTAGCAAGTTTGCCAACACCGGAGGATGTCACCATCGATATGATTCGACAATTAGAATTGAATATATTAGATTACATCTGAGAACTAATTGAAACAAAACTCTTCTTAGAAGGTGGCTGCGTAAATTAGTTACTCATATAATATTTGTAACAAATATTAGTTTTACATATGAGAACTTATTGAAACAGAACCCTTCCTAGAATGTGGCTGCGTAAATTAGTTACTCCACTAATATTTGTAAATTGTAACTTCTAAGTTCTAAGTTGCAATTAGATTTTATTGAATAAACTTGAAGGCTTTATTCAAGTCTTTTTTATACAACTATTGTCTTGCATTTTAATTTTAATATATACATACATATATATATATATATATATATATATATACTAACTTTAAAATACTTAATTTAAAAATTGAAATTTGACATTTGAAATTTCAAGCTTAAATTATTTAAAATATTTAAAATACAAATTTGGACTTCTCAAATATGAAATTTGAAAGTTGAATTTGAAATTTGAAAACTTAAGCATTATTTATTAGCTAAAAATGTTATTGAAAACCAAATAAACTAAAAATGTTATTCAATAACATATAATTTCAATACAAATAAATAAGTATATAAAAAATAAAAAATCCACATCCCGTCCCGTCCCGTATATATAGTGGGACGGGATGGGACGTATTTTTGTCCCCCCAATCCCGGTCCCAGGCAAATCCCGCCAGCGCCGTCCCCCAGTCCCCTTGCCAGCCCTATAATTAGATCCATTATTTTTTAGAACGAAATATTATGTAAAGTAAGATATATATATATTTTCCCGTACAAAAAATGTTATACAGTACTGTAAATATAAAGTTTTCTAAATTTTACTTCAATCAATTCTATTCAGCCCGCTTTGGTTTCTTCTCATCTAGTTTACAAAGCGGTTAATTTTTTACCTTCTGTAAATACACCATTTTCAACCCCTAAAGAATCTTCGTGCGCTTTTCAACAATGGCAATCGCTTCGCCATCGACTCCATCTTTCTCGGCATCTATCTGCTGTACTCGTACTGACTCAACTCCAGCTCGTTCACTTCGATTCCCGCCGATCCAAACTCGGCTTCAATCTCGGCAATTCACGTTGTCTTGTCGGTCCTCTGTGCCTTCATCAAATGAATCCGACGGCGATCTCCAGTACGAGATTCAGCATGGAGTTTCTACTGACCATCGACGGCGCGGTTCGCTGGTGTTCGTCACTCTTCCGCTTGATGCTCTTAATTTCCCGGTAGGGACTATGAAGAGGAAGAAGGCGATGGTGCAGTCGTTTCGTGCTTTGGCGGCCGCTGGTGTTGAAGGAGTTGTGATGGAGGTATGGTGGGGACTGGTGGAGCGTGAATTGCCTAGGGTTTATAATTGGGAAGGGTATTTGGAGATTGTGGTGTTGGCTAAACATTGTGGATTGAAAGTTCGAGCTGAAATGGCATTTCATCAATGCGGTACAGGGCCTGATGATCCTTTCTGGTTCGTACACGTTCTGAATCTCTTCTTTTGCTCTTGTTTGGATACCAAAAACAAAGTGTTGTTTGTTTGTGGTTAACATTTCCTTTATTTCTCGTCCAAACACGTTTTGTTTTATTCCTTGAAAACGAATATAACTCTCAAATCACAAAACAAATTAATATGAAGAGTAGAATGTCCAGCTGCTGCTAGTACTTCACATGATTGACTATGACATGAATTTAAGTTTCTTCGCGTTTGACATTTATTAGTTGAATCTTTCGAATAAAAATTTGCCCGTAATATGGTGGAAGTCACATTTTCTATGCGGGTGTTCCAGTAAGCTTGACAGTGGCCATTTGACTCATAATTGTGTAGGTTTTTTTGTGTGTGTGTTCTAGCAAGCATTAGGGCTTGCTGGATGGTGTTTAAGCCAGTAAGTGAAGCTTATGGGTTGCATATTGGAATGGAGTAAGAGAAGCTTCTTGGACTGTCTTGAACTAGATTCAACTGAATGATTCTCCTTAAAATCAAACTAGTTGGCATATTAGTTATTGGGGTACATGTTTAGAATGCTTAGTTTTGTACTGTCAGGTTCCCTGGAATTGAAGATGACTTCTGTGTATTCTGTCAAGTTTCATACTGTTATGTATTAAATTATTAATTCCAAAAGAAAGTTCATTCTATTACTTATTAAAAGATAATGCTCTACAGAGTTTCAAATAAGATCTTAGAAAAACGTTTTATGGTTTTGAACAACATAACTTGTATAGACATTGAGGTTTATCATAATAACTAATTCTATGATCCTATACCTGCACTTCAATTTTCCACAAACAAGTTAAAACCGTGGATCCTTTTTTATATAGAAGTGGGTTTGATGGTTAGTTTTCTTTCAGGAGTAGAAACTTTTAAAAAAATATGTAGGGCAAAAGACACCTTTATGAGAGTGGACAAAATATCAGCCAAACTAAACAAGAAAGGACACATGATTTGGAATGAAGAGAGTAGCTTGTTAGGTACTTGAATCAATTTGATTGGTGAGAAAAGACACATATTGATTTTCATGTTTCGAAATTGATTGGCTTCATCAAAAGGAATAAAAGGAAGTGACACAATTTGCATGGAGAAATGGATGAACAAGAAAGTTTGGCAGCCTCATCCATGTGGATAATTATTTGAACAAGTTTCTCTTTTTGGTATATAATTGGTATCCGGGTTTTTTTTTGAGAAGGTAACGATTATTGGTATCCAGTTTATTTAGTATTATGCATCTAGTGTTCCCCATCTAACTTGTGCCATAATTCATCTTCTACCCCCTTTGGCTGTGACGTTTAGGAAGTTGATAGCATGAAGTATTAATTCATATATTATTGTAAGATCTTGTAACTCATCAATATTGAGAGATCCCCAATTTCTGTAATTATGCAACTTTTAAGGATATAATCTGATCTTCACCTTTTGGTTACTTTGTAAACATTATTCAGTTCTCAAAATCTTGAAGGGAAAATCAAACAGTTCAATTCATTTTAGGCTACATGCTCAAATTCTTCAATATCACATTCATAAGTTTCACTTAAGTACACCAAAATCGGGTTACATGCCGGGAGGGTGTTGAGTTATATAATTTTCTCACATGGGACTTGTGCGTGATTTTTCTTATGTTACAGCAAATATGAAACAACTAGATAACTTTGCACACTTCCCGACATGTAGCCTGATTTTTTGGAGTTAAGGGATTTTGTTAAGCTTTTGGGCTACTTCACTTGCTGCCTTATAATTTTTGGGTTGAATGGTCGTCATGGGATCATAGCAAGCAGGCTCCTAAGTCAAGTTCTCATGGTCATCAATGAGCAAAAAAGAGTACCACATGCTTAATCCATAGTGAAAGAGTCACGCTTGTAAATGACAGATCGTGTTGCAAATCCTTAAATGAACCAACAATGTTATATGACAGTGAATGTTGGGCCGCTAAAATCTGACATATCCACGAGATGAGTGTCACTGGGATACACATGCTAAGATTGATGTATAGTCATCATACAAGATTAGAAATGATCACATTGATAATTAAATGAGAGAAGGTCAGTTTGGTCATGTCCGGCTTCCACCTCCACATGCACCGGTTTGGAGGTGTGAAGCTATAGTTAATTAAGGTGTTAAAAAGGGGATGAGGTAGACCTAAAGTCAAGTGGAAGGAAGTTATGTCAAAAGACCTATAATCTCTTGAACCCACTCATATCTAGCAAAAAAATCGGACATAGTAAAAGTAAAAGATTTATATAGGCGATACCTAATAGTTGGGATTATTATTTAGTCGCATTAGTACATTTACTTTAGGACTTATGCTTTCTAGTAGTCTTCAGTCATATCTGAATTAAACTGCTGTTAAAATTTAGAGAACTTTTGGTATTAAATATTATTGTTATTTTTGTTGTTGTTTTCGTATAATATTGGTCTAGGATGAGCTTATTGTTGTTTTCATAGTCGGTCTGAACTTGCTTGAGATTGAGGTGTAGTATTAATTGTTATTCCACTTAAATGAGGTAACATAATTTAACAAATACCAACAGATTTCCCTGTACAAATGTGCCATAGTATAAATGTATAATGTTTACCGGAGAAAGAAAAAAACCTTTTCAGGATGAGACTACGAACCCTAATGGAGCCAATGAGAAAGCAGTTGCAGGCCACAGACTTCCACATGGGAGGAAGTTCTGTTCTCTTTATGAGAAAGGCAGATACAAATGTTGAAAGAACTCCCTCCGTCCCAAAATAAGTGTCACCCTAGCAAAACAATTTGTCCCAAAATAAGTGTCACCTTAGGGATTCAAGACAATGAATATGTTTTTCCAACTATACCCTTATACTCCATCTTCTTAATAGTGTTCAATTTTTAAGAGACATTTATTAAATAGGGGTAGTTTATAAACTAAACATTGTATTTATTGATTACTTAATGGATGTGATTTTTGCTAAGGTGACACTTATTTTGGGGTGGAGGGTGTACATGCCAAAAGATCCACTTGGATGTATACTTGCCATTTTGAACGCACAAAGTCACTCTCTCCCCCTGCTCCCTACAAAGGTAGTGTGTGGAGATGTGATGATGGAAGAAAGATCACGATCTTCCCTATGGAATGTGTAGCAAAGTCATGTCTCTGCCGCACCCTTGCATGTCTAAACAAAAGTTGCTCTCTTTTTGTGGAAATTCTTGCTTTGATCTTTTTTTGGTGAATTGCTGCTTTAGAATAAGGGCATTTTCTTCATCCAATCAATTTGGAGGTTTAGTAGAAGGGTACTTGATTCTTTTCTGTTTTTGAAAAGATTGGATTCTCTATTATTTCTCGTATAACGGGTTATATTTAATATTTTTGTCTTTAGGTGCTTATGGAGTGAAAGATACAGAAGATTGTTTCAAAACAGCGAGAATGATATAGCAAACATAAGATGATTTTATTTCTTGTATTTTTGGTGTAAAGGGAGAATACCCTGTTGAATGTATAACCAACAAATTATATAGATATGAATGTTTTGTTTAATGGAAAATTTGAATTATCTTAAAAAAGGAAAACAGAAAATATTAGAACTGATTAAATATATGCTAAAAGTTGCAATGACTAGGTTAATTTCATCATCAGTGGTAGTTCCTCTTTGTCACAAGTAGAGAAATGAGATTGATTGTTATTTTGCTAACAAGAGTTAGCATTGTTTTCAGCTGGTCCTAGTCTGGCTATGTTTGTGGTAGGTAAAAGATTATGGAGAGAGTAAGTGTTTAGTTATGCAGAAGAGCATTTGTCTTCTTATGGCCGTTATGTGAGCTGATGAGTCACTGGACTAACTCTGTCCCACAATAGATTCCGTATTACTGAATGCTCTCTCTGTATTTGTAAACCTTGACTAGAAATTAGAATTATAGTTTTTCTTTTTTTAATTTTTTTTACAGTTATTTAAGTTTCAATGTTTTGGGGTAGTTATCTATCCTTATTGTTATTCGTTTTTTTCATTACGGTGGTGTATGGGCCAGCTTGCTTGTGGCTCAAGTATTACACCGGGTACCTGCTACCTCCCACCAACACAGGTTTCAGGTAACTCTACATGCCCACGCTTAGGTAGAGAGGAAGAAATCACCTAGTATTTATTTTTCTCTGGAATTTGAACACGAGAGAGAAGGAGAATGCTACCAAGGCGAGAAGGGTTCTCCCCCCCCACTACAATGCCCACTAGACTACATCCTTGGGTGCTTGTTGAACTTTTTAAGCGTTGTGCTCTCCTGATCTTACTCTGCCTCTCCCTCTGCTGTTCCATTAGAATGATTGCTGCTAGTTAATAATTCACAATCTGAAAATTTCTCCTTTTGCTGCTACTAGGATTCCTCTTCCTCAGTGGGTTCGTGAAGAAATCGATAAAGATCCAGATTTAGCATATTCAGACAGGTTTGGAAGACGGAATATGGAATATATATCCATAGGATGTGATGTTCTTCCCGTTCTGCACGGACGATCTCCGATCCAAGCATATACTGAATTTATGAGGAGCTTCCGTGACACCTTCATACCATTTTTTGGTGGCGTCATAACTGTATGATGCTCACCTAATGCTTCACCAACTAACTTTTAATGGTGTTATACCTATGCAATTTAAATTTATGTTGCAGGGTATCCAAGTTGGAATGGGCCCTGCTGGTGAGTTGAGATATCCTTCATTCCCTTTACAGAAGACGGCTCGGACTTTGCGATCACGTGAACTTGGTGAATTTCAATGCCATGATAAGGTGTGAATAAAATGATTTTATGTATCTCAATTGATTTTTCATGTCATCCTCCAACCAAAATTGTGATTATCTTCTTTTGAGCTGGCAGTATATGCTTGCATCTTTAAATGCTTGTGCTGGGGAGATAGGAATGCGTGAGTGGGCCAATGGTGGACCTATTGGTGCGGGCAGTTTAATGCAAAATCCTGAAGGCTCAGAGTTTTTCAAAAGTGATGGTTCTTGGAACTCACCATATGGAGAGTTCTTCCTTGCATGGTACTCAGGGATGTTGCTGCTTCATGGTGAGAGGATTTGTAGGGAAGCAGAGTCTATATTCCGTGGTCTTGAAGTTAATTTGTCAGGGAAAGTGGCTGGGATTCACTGGCATTATCGTACAGAGTCTCACCCGTCTGAGCTAACGGCTGGCTACTACAATACATCAATTCGAGATGGTTTGCTGCCAATTGCTCGCCTGTTTGGCAGATATGGTTTTTCCATGTGTTGTACATGTTTCGAGATGCAAGATGCAGAAGCGCAGCAGATGAATCCTGACAGTAGTCCTGAAAGTTTTGTAAAACAACTTTCACTTGCCGCTAGGTTATGTGACATTCCTCTGCAAGGTGAAAACTGTGCAAGTAGCTTGGATGATGGTTCATTTGAACAGGTGTTACGGATGTCTAGGTTCTACTGGAATGGTCCAGGAACTCCAACCTTCTCATTCAATTTTGTCAGGATGGACAAGAACTTGTTTGAATATCGGAATTGGGTTAGCTTTACTCGTTTTGTGAGACAAATGTCAGATGCCAAATTTTTTCGACCCAACCTAGGCTTCGGGGATGGTGATATGCCATTTTTGTCTTTATCAGCATCCTCCACTGCTGGAGTGGTTCTTGCATAGTAGGAAGAAAAACTTCAACCTGTAGTCATTTCCTAATGGTAGTTGCGTATTCTCACCCACAACAAGTCAAGGGTGTGCATATCTGTTGAATCTTCTGATCTGTTATTGTGAATTGCAAAGCAAAAGCTTGGTCTTTTTCGCGTAAATTTTTTGTCCTTGTACTGAAATGGTTCACTATGAGGTTGAAAATGAGTATTTCCTTTGTGTCATAACGGTGCCATCCTTCCTATTATTTTGAGATTGTGGATGGCCAGCCTCTCTATTTCAGCTCAAGAGGTGAAACTCATGTTGGCCAAGATAATTCAGGTCAGTATGACAATTAACTCCTTTTAGTATTCTAATCTTCTAATATCTGGGGTTTGTGACAAGGATAGTCTTTGACCAATATAATTAAGTGAAATAATGGGAAAGGAATTTTTTATTTAATAAACTAATACAAGAAGGATTATGTTATGTACTTTAGGTGTGTTTTTAATCCTTCATGGTTTGTTTGAAGCATAGTGAAATGGAAACCCAACACATGGTCCTGATTTGAATGATTATGCAAATTGAATTACAAAAGTTGGAAGATTCATTCATCTCCAACAGGAATCCATGTGAAATTGTGGAGTGAAAGGAATCAATCAGTCAGTCCACTATAAACAAGGAAAATGAGGTGATCTACAGAACATCCACAATAAATGGTACATACCAATACAAAATTAATTAAAAAGACACGATTCAGAATTTGAACTTTATGAATTTGAGATCATGATTTTACCGCAACTTATTTAATTTATCGAGTCCCAATCAATTATTTTATTTGCACTAATTTAGTGACTAAGTTTTCCCTGTATTTTCGTTAATGTTGAAAGTATATAATTAATACAAAGCCAATTTTGCATCATTATTTGGTAAATAAATCCAAGAAAAAAGGAAAAATAAAGTGGGAAGATGCTTTTAGGTGATAATGAAAAGCAATTTTGTACTAAAACATGGATTCGTGCCTAACTTAATTATTGTGGCCTACATTTATTTATGCCAAACTAGATACACTAAAGTAAATAATGATTAATGATCAAGGAATTTTATCCAAAAATGTGCAGTTTTAGTTGAAAAAGTCCATTAGGTAACCGGTCTGAGGAAGATAAAGTATACACAGACTTTATCTCTATCTAGATAGAGAAAATGTTTCTAATATCCTCCCTCAATTTTGTGAGAATTCCAAATTATGCAAAAATCATGCGTGAAAAAATGTGATCTACATGTGTACTGAATTAACTCGGAAAATGAATGAATCTGAAATATACGTCAACTTAAATCAACAATGACATACTCAATATATTTTACAAGTAAAATCTAAAGAAAATATGATGTACGTACACAAACTTTACCTCAGACTATACGTTAACTTAAATTGTATTTTAAAAAATAAATTGCTATCATATATAAATGATAATGGTACGTAGTAATTGACACAATAAGTTAGGCCATTTTTATATATGCATGGATAGTTGACTTTTATATTAAGGTGACAAATGAATTGAAATGCATTTGTGAATAATTTCAAAAAAGACATCGAGTGAAGTTTGTACAAAGACAGACGCACTAACTAGCTAGTAATAATTTACGTAAAAATTGTGAACTAAATACAAAAAAAAATTGCAACTATTTAAGCAGCTAGGTTTTCATCAATTTCAGGTAACTCAAACAAATATTAGCAATACTTTTTGAGAAGTTGCAAGTTTGGTAATATGAAGACTCTTCTTTTTGTTATCTGTCTCATCTTCATTTGCTCATGGCCAGGTGAATAATTTTACAATTATTATTTTATATAATGTTCGCCTAAAATGAATTTAACGGTCAGAATGAATTCATACAATCAATCTCGTTTAGAATATGGACATAATAGTCATATAGTACTACTGTTTTAATTTAATCAACTTGGTTTTCTAACTTTCAAATAATCAATTCATATTTGTTAATTAATTTCAAGTTTTTTGGTTTTCTATAGGTTGCAGCAATGGCATACAAGATGTGGCAAGGCTGCATAGCCTGCAGAGAGAGGTACTTTCTCAAGTAGATCATTTTTTTCTTGGACTATTTGCACTTTAGTTTTCACGCGCTGATTGATATCTGTTTTTTGGACACAATTAATGTCGATTCTTGCAAGAGTTTCTTTTTGGGATAAGACGCTTTCTACTTTAGATGATTCTACTCTCGCCTCTCGGCCTGAAGGATTGAACCCCTTGATCTCTAATTAAGAATGAAAATCTACTTATCGTTCCAATACATCTTTTAATGATATATAAGCCTGTATTATAATATTGTTATAGTAATGAAAATAGATATCTACCTTGTTTTGCTCTTCCTTTCGATTAATGGTAAGTTTTATTGGTTATCATCTGTCAGTGTATATAACTTAATCATCGACTCGCCCCTTTCTTTGTTGTTAGGTGATTAACCAAATGAATATGCGCAAGGTTTTAGAGGTGGATGTGATGGTGGACTACAATGGTGGAGGTGGAGCAAATACTGCGCATACCCCTGGCAAAGGGTACCCTCCTAAAGGAGCCAATAATTCTAATTAAATTTAAATATCATAGTACTATACTATATAAGTTTATTTAAATTTAAATAAAGATATCATGTATGTTATGAGGCAAACTAAATGTATCTACTATATATTGTGCTTTATCAGTTACTATTATTATGTATGTGATTTGCAATTTATATATGTATTATCGTAGTTTTGCCATTTCAATCTAATATATCAAAAGGGCATGTCCCTTATAAACATGTACCAATTGGATTGTTTGCCCATTGTCAAGCCAACTATGAAATCTATTAACGTCTCTTTAATTATACATAAAAAATAAAAATAAAAACTCCTTATGTCTCGATTTATGTGATATTTTTCATTTTTTGAGAGTCAAACAGTTTAAGTTTGGCCGAGAATTTGCACATGAGATCTTCAATTTTTTGAAATGAAATTTATATATTTGTAAACTATGTAAAAAGTGCTATAAGTCACAATAATTAATAATTCAAAATGTTTAAAAAATTTATGAAAAACTTATGGTCAAAGATAGACTTGTTTGAATCTCGAAATCCGAAAAATGTCACATAAATTGAGACGGGGAGTAATCAGAAAGTGTAATTAAAATTTAAAGTGATGATATTGATGAAGAGTCAAAAATAGATTTTTAAATCATAATTAGTGAATCTTTTTTCTAATTTTTTTTGTAACTATAGTTAAGATGCTGGTCAAAATTAATGTAATCTTTGACTTAAATTTTCAAATATGAAAATGTTTGAATTGGAGAGAAGCCAAATTCAACTTTATTCAATTACTAGGAATTTATTAAATTACAAACTTATCAAGAAATTATGTAATTAATGACATTCACAATAGAATGTATTTATAAGACATGATTTTACCAATTTCAAGTCATTCAAACAAATCTTGCCAACAATTCTAAAGTATTTTAAGTTTGAGAAATTGCAACTGTGTGGTAATATGAAGACTTTTCTTTTCGTTATCTGTCTCATCTTCATTTGCTCATGGCCAGGTGAATTAACTTTACAACTTGTTTTCTTAAAAAAAGAAATCAAACATATTTTTATTTTATATAATATCGGCTTAAGATGAATTTAAAGAGAATTCATATAGTTGATTTCAATTAACTTTGAAATGGAGAATTCAAATTGATTTTGTGTATTCTTTCTATAGGTCACACCAATGGTATACAAGATGTGGCAAGACCAGAAGACCTACAGAGAGAGGTAAATTTCTGAAGTAGATCAATTTTTTTATATGTATAAAATTATTTGCACTTTGTGAATGCTGAATAAATATATGAATTTCAAAAATGGTGGGATGGTATTCATCTGAAGATCTAGAATTCAAGATCTGTGTACAAAATTATTATGTTGGGAAATAAATTACTTTAATATGAGATTTTTAGACAAATTCAAACATAATCGAATCTCAATATAAAAATCAAAATAAAGAAACATTCAAAAAATATATTCAGAGTTATTTATCTCAATTCTTGCGCTTCAAAAACTTGACAAGGCTATTAGGTTTGTACCATTCATATGCTAATAGTTTTTTGTCCTCAAGTGATGTTCAATACATATTTGAGATTCGATTAATTTAAATTCATGTTAGAAGTTTTTACTTTAAAGTAAAACACTCTTTATTAAGAGTGAAGAAATGTATATTATCATCTATCAAATCGGTATAGATAACTTAAATTATTTTCTTCGTCTTTTTGTTAGGTGATTGACCAAATGAATGTGCGCAAGCTTTTACCAATGGATGCGACAGTTGACTATGATGAAGCTGGACCAAATTTTAATCATACCCCAGGCGGAGGATACCCTCCTATAAGAATCAAAAATGCCAATTAATTTTTAAATGTATTTTCTATATATATAAAACCTTAAGCTGTATGTAATGAACTCTCAAATCTATGTAACCGTTATCAACTTCTAAACTATATTAATAAGTTTAGAGTTCAATTATAAATCCTCGTAAAAGAAAGTGGACGAAAAAAATCAGACTTTTAACTAGCGTTTGGTTACAAATTTCTACATATTCTTGGCAAATTATTTTTGGGTAAAGTTTCACCATGCGTTTGGTCATGAATTTTGAGAGAAATATTTGACTGTTTCAGAAAATATGATTTATATCCATAAGTTTTAAAAATTATTCAAAATACCTTTAAGTTTGTATTATCATTTTATAATGAACATGTTTCGTTAAAAAATAACCTTATAACATAAGTGATAGCAATCAACAACAATAATAAAATAACAAAATAGCAATATGAAGAAATTGGGTAGATAATTTTTTGTTAGAATTAATAAATGATGGTTTTTTTTATAAAATATAAAAGTTTGGGGGTAATTTTTAAATTTTTTAAAATATCCAAATATTAGAACTTGACCGAAATACTAATTTTTTCTAGTAATTGAAAACATAAGATATTTGACAAATATATTTGCCAACTAATAGCAAGTTGTATGACCAAACACCATTTCTCAAAATTTTCCTAAATATATTTATAGCCAAATGGATTCTTACTCAATATTTTGCATAAGTCTAATTTACTCTCATAAATCATATTTATCAACTTGAATCTCAAACATAATTTCTTAATTTTATTTGGTATTGAGCTGCTTTATGCGTCAGAAAAAAAATCGATTTTTTGTTTTTCTTATCAAA